AGCTAGTCATGATCTCATCGTGAAGTGGTGGAAGAGAAAACGTGTACTAGTTTTCTCTTAATATAAGTACAATTTTCTTTTAGTATAAATACATTTTTTTCTAAATTCTTTTTTTGAAACTTTACAATCTTTTTAATTTTGAAAAATAAATCTATATAAATGCAAAGTTATTTGATCAAATGATAAAAAAAACCATAAATAAGTTTTTTAAGTAATATATCAATCAAAAACAATTAAAAATCACTTAGAAAGGTATTTGTTGGGAATAAAATATTCTCGTTTAGTTTAGGCAAATATCTTAGTGCAACATATGATTAGTTTATGCAAATATTTTAACATCTTTCTGTAGTTGGTATTTTGGGCCGATTTAAGAGGTGTGTGTGTCTGAATCTATAATGGCCCATATAACTTAATGGATAAGGCCATTTGTAACCATCCAGAACAAAAATCAAATTACAAAAAAAATTATGAAGAAACTAAAACATTTTGGAGATATATAGGATGAAAGGAAGCTTTCGTCTATAGCCAAAAGAGCGAAACAAAATATGGATCTACCAGTGTATGCCCCTTGCATGCTCCTCGATTTAGATGCAAGGTTATAGTTTGTGGACAAAATTTCCAGAGCCACAATTTTCCCACACTAAAAGCAGCTGAACATGCCGCTGCAAAATTAGCATTGGCTTCATTGACGCCGCTGAGTCGAGAGGCTAGTTTCCACTCATTTTGGACCACAATTATGTGCTTTTTCATGTTTTTTAAACTTAATTTTCTGTCTTTGTGTCATTTTTGTCTTCAGGGAATTGATGTTGCTTACAAGAACATGTTACAAGAAATTGCGCATAGAGGAAATTCTCGTCTACCAGTTTATGCAACTGCTACATATTGTCCACCACATGAGTGTACCTTTATTTCAACTATTGAGTTCACTAGGAAGGTTTTTAGAAGAGAAGAGGCAAAAACCAAAAGTTTGGCTGAAATGAGTGCTGCTAAAGTGGCTTTCACGAGTATCAAATATGGTATTTATTTAATCTTTGTTATCTCTTGTTTTTCCTATTTTATTTACTCCCTAGAAATATGATCAAATCTATCAAAATCAAGATTTTATGTTAATTTGCAGATGGTGTGTGATATAGGGTAAAAAAATGATAGTGGATCGTTCTTTTTATAATGGTTACCTCTTGTGAAATGCTTTTGAGTTCCATTTAGATGTAGATAGTTTGACCACAAATATTTGGCTTCCACAAATATCTTCATGTAATTGCATATGAGATTCTTTCAGTTAGTCATTTTATGTATTTGGATCAGTGTTCACTTCACTTTCTTTAACATGTCAATGCACTACAAGAAAACATGCCATTTCCCAGAGCATAATCCGTCGGAAAGCCCTCGGAAACAGGCCTTTCCGACGGATTTCCGAGGGAAAATAGTCGTCGGTTTGAGATAGTCGGAAATTAAAATCCCACGGAAATTCCTCTGAAATTATCGACGGATTTCCGTGGGAATAAAATTTTTTTTCGACGGATTTCCGAGGGATTATATTTCCGACGGATATCTGAATAACATTTCCGACGGATTTCCGAGGGCCTGAATTTTCGACGGATTTCCGTGCAAATAACTGTCCGAGGGATTTCCGAGGGTCTACATTTCCGACGGATTCNGAGGACTTGGTTCCGACGGATTCCGAGGACATGTTTCCGACGGACTTCCGAGGCTTTGCCTTTCCGACGGATTTCAGAGGACCCGGATAATTTTATAATTTAATAGTTTTATTTACTAATTTATATATATTAATGATTTGTTAATTTAATATTTTAATTTAATAATTTATAAATGTCATAATAATTATAAAAAAGTTATAAGAAAATTTAGTAAAAACACTATTTAAATCATAAAGTAATTATTTTTAAATT